AAAGCCTAAAAGCTGAAGCTGAAGCTCAGCGGTTTCCTTGGAACTCTCAGCAAAAAGCCTGTTAAACTATCTTTTCTTTTCTTCGTACCTTCATAAATCTGAGAACTGCCCATTTCCCGGGATTGTTCAAGAAATAATGGGTCGGTCTTGGTTTCTCAAACTTCTTCTTTCAATGCTTTTGTTTCTCTCCTTCTCTCAAGGTATTACTTTGTTTTTGGTTTTTTGTTTTATAGGAATTTTTTCTTCGTTTTTTAGTCTTATACTTTCTTGATGGCAAAAAAAAAAAAAAAAATTCTTATACCTCTGTTGTCAATTCTTAGGATTCGGCAGAAAAGTGATGGAGACTGTTGAGTTTGGAGAATCCACTGCTCAATCGAAGGTTGGTTTTCTCTCTCTTTTCTTTAAACTTTCTAGAGTCTTTATTTACAATTTTTAGGAGCTAAAATTGTTGTTTTTTTTAATGTTTGGCTAGCAGGAATTTGTAGATACATCAAGGGAGATAATTGAAATAATGGATTATAAAGATTCAGGCCCAAATATTAACCCCATAACTGGTTACATATTTAGCCCTCCTCCACAAGGCTAGTTGAGACTCGAGAGTTAGAAATCTGAACTCCAGCAGATTAACTTTTTTTTTCTTACCTTAGTTATGTTTCAATGAATCTGAACCAAAAATGGTTTGAGAAGTTAGGATTCACTATGCTGTGTCATGTTTTTCTTTTCTTATAAAAACTATGGGTTTTCCCTTTCATGTTAATGTGCCATGTAAGAAAATGCTTATACTCTCTGTATATGAGCAATAGGCATGAAAATGACAGCTTGTTCTTTTATTAGAGTTATCATTGTCATGAAAAAATTTTCTTTTTTTTTTAATTTATATATTTATATATGTATAGTATGTTGAATTCTTGATTACAAAGGAATAACAGTGACATGAATCCAATAACCCCTTGAACTGAAATGTTGCCGTTGAAGAACTAAGAAATTATTCCTAACTATCAAAAAAGAAATTGTTGACTTTAAGTATTAGATTATGGTTATACACGATGCTTTGCAATTGAATGCTACAAAGATAACTTTAGCTTAGAAAAGATGTATGGTGTAAATGTCCCCACGTTTTTAGTCCAGTGGTTAAAGATGCTTGAAGGGATATCAAAAGTTTGGTTTCGATCCAAACCTTCCTCTTTTATTTACTTCTATTTTTTTTATTTGTATTAAAACTTAAAAAAAAAAAATATATATATATATATATAGTGTAAATGACAAAATATCAAAATTTCCAAAACCAAAAAGTTACTTTTTTCCCCGAGACAATATAAAATTATTTGACTTCATGGTAAAGTGCCTGTCATAAGGCACGTATTCTAACAGATGTTGGGACGATAGCTTCTTAAATTATCCCCCATGTGCATGGCACTTGAAGGGCAAATATATTGACTTATTTATCATTAGTCGGTCATGAGTTGCTTTTCAGAGTAAATGTTTGCATGGCATGGCTGATCAATGTAAATAGATGGGTGACTTCAGAGTGCTGCCTTTTGGAGTTTGGCGTTGACAAAACTATACTGATACCCTCTAGTTTGAAGATCTAAGTCCTGATGACTAAGGATTTATTCAGAAAAGTTGCTGTGAAGAAAGGAAGAAGACATCCTCTTAATTTGGTGTATGTATCTTTGTACATGTAAAAGAAACTTGAAGTTGTCTTTGAAGCAACACTGCAATCCCAGGTCAAAAAATCAACTGATATTGCATTAGAAACACCCTAGTACAATCGTCTGAATTTTGAATTTGAGAACTGTGATATCTGATGAAGAGAATATTCTTGTAGATTTTGTGCTAAAGGCAGAAGAATTAACTATGTTTTGGCAAATGACAGCACACCTAACTCCCCAAACTTATGATATTGTTGTTTCATAGCTTCACAAGTTATAATAGCATTAAAAGTTTTTTTCTCCCACAATCCCAGCATTAACATGGCAGCTCAAAGACATCAGTTTGGGAGAGAAACCAGGATTTTGAGTGTTCAAGCAAGGCAGTTTCATCTACTGAGAAAAATGGAAGATGGTGGGAAAGTGAATAGAAATAAAATGGAGAAGCTGATGGGAGATCTGGGACTTTTTTGCATTCAAGAAAGTGAGGACTGAGGAGCTAAACAAATCATTTGGTTCTGAAGAGCTTTCCAAGCTGTTTGAGGAGAAGCCAAGCTTGGAAGAGGTGAAGCAAGCTTTTGATGTTTTTGATGTGAATAAAGATGGGTTTATTGATGCAGAGAGTTCTCCCTATTTTGGGATTGAATGAAGGTTTAAAGCTGGAGAACTGCAGCATAATGATCCAAACCTTTGATGAAGATGGAGATATCAGAATAGATTTTCAGGAATTTGTAAAATTCATGGAGAACAGTTTTTGTTGAATCATTCCTTTATTATTATTTTTTTTTTGAAAATTAATAAATATCAAGTCTCACAATATTAGAATATATATTTATTAATTTTTACCTCTGTTTCTTGTTATGTGGTTTTGATATATTTGATTTTTCTTTTTGGTTGTAATTGTGAATTGTGATTATGACTATTATTATCAGATATTAGTATTTAGCAGTATCACTCTGTATTAATTTGTGATTGTGATTGGAAAAGGTAAGAAATTAATAGCCTGAATCAAGCTCTCAGAAAGTTAAGAAGAATTTTGGCTGATTCTGTCAAGCAAAAACAGTTTTCAGACACCAATGGAAAATTTTGATTCTATTTTAAGGAAAGCATTATAAAGATGCTCCCTGATAATATAGAAACAACATCCTGCATGCTAATCTTTCCTAAGAAAAACATGTTTCCATGGTCAATAAGAGTGGCTTTAAGGACCCTGACATAGAAATCCTATCATAAGCCCTTCGTAATTATAAATGATAATGAAGGCAAGATATATAAGCAGTTTCAAGAACATCCACATAAATACTTGCATAGTATCCAGGTAAACAGATTGAAGATCAATGATCCCTGCCTGGCTTTTATGGACATAGATGTGATTTCTCCAGAACCTACAATAATTTTCTTCTCCAGTCACCCAGCGGCAAATAGTCAATAAATCTATTACCAGTAATCAGCACATAAACAGTATCCGTTTTGAAAACTATGGAAGCGATTTACATCTCTAACAATGATCATCCTGTTTGTGACCTTTGAAATAAGTTTGACAGCAGAGTGGCAATCATCACATATTCTAACAGGTTTTTAAATACACGAATAGGTGCCTCTAAAAGGGAGTTTGCATGAGCCCATATCACATGCAATGGCCAATTTCTCGCTGTGATTGATGTAGCTAAGATGGTCCTCCTGCTCTTCCTCTACATCATGCAACACACCAGCAACATCTGGTACATATTCTAAAGGCTTAATCTTACATAAAAATTCTTTTACTTTCTCATATATTTGACTTGACTCTGGGTGCTGACGGTCCTAAACCCTAAACACATTAGACAAATAACCAATATATATAGAAGCAAGCTCTGGGTTTTCTTTTCTCTTTTTTCTTCATATATTAATTCTGCTAATTAGGATTAGTAAAATTATTGAGAGTTAATTGGGTGCTATTAAGTGGCCTGCTTTTAATGGTGCCTAAAAATATAAATTAAACTCATAATTTTTCACTAAAATATGTTGGTTTTTAAGTTCTTAAGTGTAACAAGTTAATTTGTTAAGCAAAGATTCATACAGTCACCATAAGAAATGACATTGTAAGTTGGAGGTTCAAGTCTTACCGTCTGTAATCCTTTCTCCTATCGACATTTGTGAAAAAAAAAAGTACCCATGTTGTTAGCGAGCAAAAAGATTAAAGTGTATCTAACAAAATAAGAGATTAAAGTGTACGTAGACAAGCACAAAACTTATTTTCCTTCAAAGTTCCAAAAAAAATCAGCCGGTGACTGGTTTTTTAGGAGTTATTATCCTTAGTTGATATTCTTTTGAAATGCTAGAGAAATCATACTAGTTTTGTATCCACTCAGCCATACAAAACTTTAGTGAAAATGTTAAAGAGTTGGAACAAGTATTAATCCGAATGGAAAATAGGAGTAAATCTTTGTCTTTAATATTTATATTATTTACATATAATAATATCATTAGTTTTTGTCTGCTGATCATTTAGCACATACCAAACTAATAGGCAGCCTTCACTAAACCAAATGTTGCATAAGAAGAAAAAATGATAGTAAACGAAAATATGGTTGTGTTGAGAAATCTAAGCTGAACCATCTGTACTCGAGTCAATAGTTAAAATTTCACCAAAAATTAAAAAGCATAAGTGAAGAGGCAGGCAAGAGAAGGTGCACAGATTTGGAAGTAGGTTAAGGGCATAGCAGATCTCTTGTATAGCCTCATGCAAATGTAAGATGCTTGTGACAATTTGACATCTCTGCCTGAATTCTGCAGTCCCACGAAAACTGCATGTTTTGAAAAGTACCCATGTTTTTGTTCTGTTTTCTTCTGTTTTGTAACTTATTACCCCCATTGTTGTTCCATTCCAATGCCTTTCTTATTCTGTTACTGTTCTCTCCAGCACTATCGTCACTCTCTCTCTCTCTCTCTCTCTCTCTCAATATCACACTTTCTTCACTTTCTTTTCCCCATAGGAAAAGGACCCTAAACCTTTAAGATTTTTTTTTTTAGGTTTTTTTTTCTAGAAGGTAAACATGTCTATTAATTTTCCTTTGAATTTCTGCATTAAATCATTTGTAGAAATAATGAAATTAGAAAGAAAGAGGAACAGTGTTAGACTGAGAAAGAGTATGAGGTCACTCATCACTGGTTCAAGTTTAGGATTTGGTGAGAATGGTTACAAGGACAAAGATGCTAATGATAATAAAGGGCTGCCTTACGCTTCTGAGGTTCTTATTCATCTAGAAAAACAATCCTTTCTTTATGCCCTGCAATGATGTCTGAGCTAGTCTTTGGACACTCTTTTCAGTTCTCAATCCTTTTACCTGGTTTTGAAAGCCTTGTTCTTCTTTAAGCTCCTACTCCAAGAAAATCTATGAAAGGTGGTGATGATGGGGTACTAGTCTCAAAATGGCTTCCTACTGTGTTCTCTGCAGCTGATGGTGATGGTGATGATGGTTCAGTGACTGTGAATTGAGATGCTGACGCTATGGAGTCTGAGAAACCAAATAGTTGATGGTTACTTGATTGTTGCAATAACATTTGTGAAGGATGAGAACAGGGATGCGAAACAGTCAAGCTTGTTTCTTCTTGGAGCACATTCCATTGCCTACTGTTCCGGCTAATTAAACCTTCTTGGCTCCTGTAATCTGTAAAAAACAGACAATTGACCCTTTCATGAAAATGAAGAAAATTGAATAATCAAATGCAACAAATGAAAGACCAAGAAATTGAAGATGGTCTTCTCTGCAAAATAAACAAGTACTTAAAGCTGAACTTGTAAATGCAACAGTGTTGATCTTTACACTAGGATGACTAGACGTAGAAGAGAAACTTGGTGAAAGATTGGAAAATTTTGCTTAAGTAGCCAATGAAAGGAAGCACAAACTAAATGCATAAAAGTTATATGAAATGACAGAAAGTGGGGATTGAAGGGACCAAAAGGGACAAACCAGAAAAGAAACCTAAGGGTGTCTGGTTTTTACAACTTCCTTCCCCAGCAGAAAAATAGAAGATTTTAGACCCAGGAAACAAATCTCTACCACTGGTTGCAGCAGCTTCTCTCCCCGAAGTCTTGTCGTAATTAGAGCCATCAGAAAAGAAATCTAAGGGTCTCTGATTTTTACAAATTCCTTCCCCAGCAGAGAAAGAGTAGTAGCTTTTAGACCCAGGAAACAAATCTCTACCACTTGTTGCGGCAGCTTCTTTCCCCGAAGTCTTGTTGTAATTAGAGCCATTAGACCCAACAGATGAAGCTAAAAATGGGTTGCTAGAGGGGTTTGTGACGTTGCCATTGGCTGCCTCTCTGCAGTCAAAGTTCCCATTTTCTTCCAACTTTCTTTGAACACCTTGACTTAGCTTTCTCCTTCTATAGGCACTAGCCTGCTCCCTGTATTTCCTAGCCATTATAACATGCCAATGGTTTTTGACAGCATTATCAGTTCTTCCATGGAAAAGCCTAGCAATCATGGCCCATTTGTTACCATATGCTCTATGAGCTGCCATCAGCCTCTCTTCTTCCTCTTCAGTAAAAGCCTTTTTGTTGATCCTGGGGTCAAGTTGATTAAACCACCTTAATCTACAGCTTTTACCTTCAATAAGACAGAAGATTTTACATGTGAAATTTGTAAATGTCATTTTCAAGCACAAGCTTCATATTTCATCATTGAAGGAAAAAATTACAGAAAAAAAAAGGAACTTTGCAATGTATTTCTTTAACTGATTTTACCTGTTCTTCCTTGCAGCCTCTCAGCTATAAGGTTCCAGTTTTGAGGTCCATAAAGTGCAACAAGTTCCTTGAGTTTAGAGTCCTCAGCTGGTTTCCAATGCCCTCTTGCACAAACCTTTGACAGCTCAACATCCTTCCCATTGAGAAAACCTTCACCAGGGTTATTATCTTCACTCATACAGATCATTCTTCTTCTCATATCCTCCATGGAAACTGCAGCATTGTTTTCTCCAAACCCATCAATGGATTCGACGCCCTTAGAAAAATGATCATCTAACTCACTGTTTTGGCCATCTTCATCCAAGCTACAAGGACACTTCATTAAATCAGAAAACCCCATGTGACCCTTCACAGGATTATCATCACCACCACAGTAAAATATATTTTGTGAAGAAACCTGATAGCTTGAGTAATAGAAAGAGAATCCATGTGTTTTAACACCTCCATTGACGAGATGGAAGGTGGATATACGATGTACCAATTTGACAAGGTGACAACAGGGGCTGTTGTGGAACTGTTGAAAGGTCATCTTCATATCCCAAAATGGTAAAAAGGAAGTGAAGATAAAAACAAAGGAAGAGAGAGAGATTTTGCTATGGAAAATATATGAGAGCTGCACAACATCAAGAGGAGAAATAGAGAGAATGGCGCATTAGCAGAGAAAAATAAATAATAATAAAAAAGGCGTTTGTTTTCGTTCTAACAGAAAATCCACACCGCAAGACTTCTCATCTTCTGTTGAATGAGTTTCACTACTCTGACAGAAAGCAGACCTCTACTTAATTTGCTCCTGTCAAACCAAAGGTTTCTACTCTACTTCATAGAGCGTGGAACATACACGAAGCCACTTACACAATGAGCTGATTAAAGTTTCCTTAAAATGCGTTTTATGGCTGTATTCGGATTCTCAAAGGAAGCATAAGCTTCAACAACAACAAACATAAACTTCAGTCACTTTGATTTTTTTTTTAACAACATTACAATCAAGATATCTTCAGGTACTTTCCGAACTTGATATCTGCAATTTTGTTGCATTCAGAAATTTGTTCTGGAAGTGCTTTTTGTTTGAGCAAACATTAAAAATTTAGAATTATTGTTTATGATAAATTTAAAATTTTGAAGAAAAATTTCAAAGCTTATAATAGTATCACCTTTTTGAAAGTTTTATTTGCTCTCATTGTATTAGTTAATTAGTAAGTGTATAAAAAAGTTGTAGGTAATAAATTTTAAAGATACAATGAAGCCCAATGACTAATTACGTTTTACATTGACAAAATCAGTCATTAAGTATTTATCGACATATCACAAAATCACCCAACTTCTATAAAGGTATTTTACAGCAAAACTTTTATAAATGAAATCTGGAGTTTGAAAAAAGAATGAGAGTTTCAAGAATTGTTTTTATATGTCTTCAAAAAATCAGAGCAGCCTTTTATAAACAGATAAGTATCTTTTTTACAGACATAATTATTTATTTTGAATAAACAAAAATTGTCTATTTTTGAATAGCTGAAACTGTTCATTTTGAAAAAATTTAACTATGTTTCTTTATTTTTTCTTTTCCAATGTAGGATTATTTCCTATATTTTATTTGAAAATCTCTAACAATCATTTTCAAAATAATCCAGATTTATAATGATATTAGAAATTAATTGCATAAGTAAATGTATCTTTTGATTTGAACATTCACTTAGTGAAAACAAATTAAAGTTAACTGAAATTACATGATAAAACTATGCTTTGAACCAGCTATTCCATTTGGTTAACTAAACTTGTCTTACACAATGATTTCAATACCTAATGAATGCTTGGTATCTGGTGACACATTTATGGCCATGTGTTTGCATCATTTTTTCATGAAGTGCTGTTAAAGCCAAGCTCTTAAGCTTATAAAAACAGTCACATTTCACACTCATATAGGTAGCTCTCATCATGAGTGTTCCGGTATCAAAATAGTCTATCTCTTGCTTTTGTGTAAAGTTCTTGGCTACCAACCTTAATTTAAATTTATTTATGATTTCATCCACATTCATTTTCTTTTTGAAAATCCATTTACGACCTATTAGATTAGAATTTGATGGAAGGTCAACTAAAATCCAAGTGTTATTTCACATTATTGAGTCATTTCATCATTTAATACTTCTCTAAAAAATGTAAAATCTTGAGATTTCATTGTTTTTTCATATGTAATATGATTAGATTTCGTATTAAAATAATAAGAAATTTGACTGTTTATGCTTTCACCAATCTCTTCCACAATGAATATAAAGAAATATGATCTAAAATCTTTTATCTTTCTAACCCTTTTACCTGTTCTTGTTTCTTGATAAGATTCTTCACTAATTTCAGTTTGTTCTAATGGATTTGGTATTTTTTTTCACTTGTAAAATGAATTTGCTTGTAGTTGTCTTGAAATAAATTTAAATATATTTTTATAAAAAATTATATTTTTTGATTCAATAATTGTGTTAACTGAAATATGCTTTACTATGTTGTGCATATCCTATGAATATGCATTTTACTCCTTTTTCACCAAACTTTTTTCTTTTGGGTTTTGAAATTTTAATTACAACTCTACATCTCCAAACCTTTAAATAATTAAAATTTGGTTTTCTTTTCTTCCATTGCATATATGGGGTTATTTTTATTTTTTTGTTAAGAATTTATTTAGTATATGACAAGCTGTTAATAAAGCTTCACCCCAAAATCTTTGTCCAAGTTTAAAATATGATAACATTGCATTTACCATTTCTGTTAAGGCCTTGTTCTTCCTTTCAGCTACATTATTCTATTGTGGTGCATAAAGAACAATAACTTGGTCTATAATATTCTTCACCCTATCTAACCTCAAGCACTTGATAAAATATTCATACTGAAGTTCAACTTCAAATTTATATATTTTAAACTTATCAAGTATTTTTATTTTTGGAATATAACAGATAAACATAATAATATTTAGTACAATCTTCTATAAATTTGATAAAATATTTCTTTTTAGATAATGTAGGAGTGCTATGCATATCACAAACATCAATGTGAATTAACTTAAGAAACTTTGTATTTCTTTTAACCTTAGAAAAAAGATTTCTTGTAATCTTAGTCAACATGCATGTATTACATTTATTAATATCTTGATTAAATTCAAAAATTAACAGAAGCTTACTCATATCATGTAATTTTTTATAATTTAAATGACTTAATCTATAATGTCATAAATATGAAGATTCAACCATGTAAGCAGAAAATAACATTTTTATTTTTATTAATAATATTAAGTCTGAACATTTCTTCATGCATAAACCCTTTCCCAGTAAAAATTCTTCCTCTAGATGGAATAAATTTATTTACCTCAAATACAAGTTTAAAACCAAATTAATTCAACTGACTTCTAGACACTAAATTCTTCATAACTTCTGACACATAATAAACATCATTTAAGGTTAGAGTTTTTTCAGAAGTGAATTTAAAGTCAACAATCCTTTGCATTTGATTGTTGTTATAGAAGAATTTCTCATATAGAGGACACTGCCATATTCATTTGGTTTGAATGTTGTAAATATGCTTTTATCTTTGCACAAATGTTTTGTTACCTTAGAAGCAACCCATCAAGATTCATCATTTTCAAGCATATTAATTTCAAAAATTATGGCAACAAATTTTTTAGAAGTATTCCCTTTTGAGGAATCATTTTTTTTTTTTATAGTAATTGACATTCTTTTTTAAAATGTCATAGCTTACAACAATGATAACATGAGCCTTTCTTATTCTTCTTAAATTTAGGCCTATTAGCAATTTGCTTGAACTTGAACTTCTTTTTATCAGGTTTTTTAATTTGTCTTTCATCCAAAACATGAACTTTGGCATCACTAGAACCGGAATTCTATTTTTGTTTTCTGTATTCCTTTTTAATTAAAAGATGATTAGCTAAAACCTCAAGAGTGATTTCCTTTTTTCATGTTTCAAACTTATTTTCAAGTCTTTCTATGATGGAGAAAGTTTGTCTATTATAGAGGATATAATAATTGTTTCATCCATACTCATATTATATTGTTTAAACTGATTAAGCATTCTTTCAATTTCATGCAATTGTTCAATCACAAAACGTGCATAAACCATATGATAATTATTGAAATGATTAACGAAAATTTTTTTACTTGTTGCATCCTCAATCATATACCAGGTCTCTAATTTGTCCTATAACTCTTTTGTAGTAATCTTGTTTCGATATGTATCAAACAAGCTATTAGACAAATTGTTCAGAACATGACTTTTACACATATAGTCTGCATTATCCCATTTTTGCCTTTCCCTTGTTGCAATAATATTGTGTTTCATTTTTTTCTGGCCTGAGAGTAGTCAAAATATATACAATCTTCAAAGTTGAAAGTAAGAAATGCATATTTTTCTATCATTTTCAAAAATTACCACCATCAAAACAATCTAATTTGATAAAACTAGAAGTCAATTCATTAAGCGTTGCTTCAGTAGCCATTGTTGAATCAAATAAAACCTTAAGATTGTTTGAGCAAACACTGAAAATTTGAAATTATTGCTTCTAGTAAATCTAAAATTTTAAAAAAAGGCTCAAAGACGTATAATGGTGCCACTTTCCTTAAGGTTTTATTTGCTTCCTCCGTATTATTTAATTAGTAAGTGCACAAAAGGGTTAAAGGTAATAAACCTTGATGATACAAGGAAACCCAGTGGTTGATTGCAATTTGCATTGACGAAATCAGTCAACTGAGCATTTATCAATATATCACAAGATCATCGAACTTCTATGAATGTATTCTGCAATAAAACTTTTATAAAATAAATATGAAGTTTGAAGAAAGAATCAGAGCTTCAAGAATTGTTTTTGTATGTTTTTAGAAAATCAAAGAAGCTTTTTATAAATAGGTATATGTCATTTCTTACATATATGATTGATTATTTTGAATAGACAAAAATTATTTATTTTTGAACAATTAAAATTATTCATTTTGAATAGACTTAACTATCTGTTTTTATTTTTTTTGTAATATAAAATTATTTTTTATATTTTATTTTAAAAATCTCTAACACTCTTCACAAAGATCTAATCCTGATTACAAGAAAAACCAGCTCCTCTTATAAAAAGCTATTCCTAAGAGTTGGAGAAGCTTGATAAACAGGAAATTCTTTGAAAGAAAAAACTTTCCTGATAGAGGTTTGATTTTGTTAGTAGTTATTGATCATAATTGCGTAAGTACAAAATTAACATTTTAAGTGGTTCATCTCAAGATAGTTAGTATTTCGTTTTAAGATGGTTAAAATTCCATATCCAATCTGTTTCTTCTTTGGGTTTACCCAAAAAAAGATGAAACCATTTGCCTTGTACCGTTTGGTGCACATGTGTATATTTTTGTGTATAAATACGACATGTATAAAACCCATTTTTTGCAACTACCATATTTTGACATGCAAATGTATAAAATGTGAAATGGATGGCAAAAGGGTTTGGCGGGGTCGTTTTCACCCTATCTGCCATAAATGTGCCTAGTTTTTGCTACAGCAGATCTGCAATAAAAACCAGAACTCATAGTGCATAAAGTGCAAGAATGAATAAAATCTTTAGGTTCCTTCCCTAACAGCGAGTGGTGTTTGAAATTGCCCATCATTTCATTTGTTTCCTTCCATCACTTACACACGTGTGAATGTCAACTCATGTCACATGTGAACTCTCTTGAGTCAGATAAACCTCAGCTTCTCTCCCTTTTTTTTTTTTTTTTTTCTCTCAATTCTGGGATTCTTTCTAGCTAGACAAAAGATGGGGCACTGCTGCTACCCTATTGGAAGGTTATCTCCTAGTTTCCTTGCCTTTGCTGAGGGTTCCAATATATATGTGCTTTTGATTCAAGAGGGCAAAGAAATAAGGACAAACATGCCTTGAAAACAAAACACTAGCTACTTCCCTGGCTATAAAATCTATAACTTCACTCACCCAAGAGGCCAGCAATAAATAACCTGGAGCTCTCTCCATCTTAGTCACTGTCAGTTGTCAGATGCACGACTTTGATACAAACCTCTGCTAACGCTGGGGGATTTTAATCATTTAACCTGAGATGGAGCACCCAAAAGCTTTAACAAAGCTTCTCTCTCATTTTTTTTTTATGAATCTGAAAATCAGAACTACCATCGCATGAAAATACTATATGAGTTTTCAATTTTGGAAAACTGTACCAAGGCATCAAACTCCAAAGTCAGTTTGGACCTGCCACCTTCACCTCTTTCTTTTTTGTTACATTAACTTCCAAAACACCCTTTAGATTATATTAATTGTCAAAATCTTTCAGATTTTTTAAATCTTAACTACCCAATTCCTGGAAGAATTTCAATTTAGCTTCAGGATGGGGTCAAAAATATTTTATCTTAATATCATTGTCTTTGTCAATTGACTATTTCTAAGAAAAGAAAAAAAAAAAACTCTCCCTATACTTGTTAGTGCCACAAATTTAACACAGGATATAAAAAAATGACAAAGATTGGTTGCCTGTAATTCTTTTCTTTTTTTTGTGAATAATAATTTAATATAAATTTTTTTTGAGACTTATCATATATTCTTGACGAATAACTTCTCCTTGCCTAAACTTTTTTTAAGTATATAAAACAGAAAAATAAAAGTTACCACTACAAACTTCACCTGGGGTAAAATATAAAGGTATAAAAATCTTTACAGTGCAATAACCAAATGTTTGAAGGGGATAGTATAAAAGAATAACAATGAAAGAATGAAAGAGGGGGAAGAACAAATTTGTTTCTAGATTTAGTCATTGATCAATTACGGTTAGTTACCCCATATGTAAAGCAGCTCTCCATGCACAGTTAAAAAAAATGGTAAACTATATTCTCAAGGCAAGTTCACTGCCTGATTTGACTCAAATTCTCTTGAACAACAGTAAAACTATTGGCACATCCAACCAGCATTGTCACTTCCAACCTGCAACAGGCATTCTGAATTACCCCCACTCCCACCCAAAGATAAAGAAACTTTTAATCCCAAAGTAAAAATACTATAGTTACTTTTTTTCTTTAGTATTTTTCCCAGGTACGACTGCTCCACCCACCAGCCCCTGTTTGACTTCAATTTCAGTGCATGTCTACTCGAAGCAGTGAGCCTTTAGGCCTTGATTGCCCTTTAGATAGGAAACAACAGATACAGGCTACATAGCCAAAGCAACTGATAGAAATTTACTGTCAAAAACAAGTACTCCTACTCCTAGATTAGACACCATTTCTTTTTCTTTGAAAAAAAAAAAAAAGAAAACTTTCCAACTGCGGAACTCTCGCATAGATTAATCTTCAATAACAGAGTCTATCCATATAATATAAACATGTACTGTACTACACAAGGAAGAAGTCGAATCAAGTTATTGTTAACGTCAATCTTTTTATATGAGATTAGGTCGATTAGATAATTTTAAATATGGTATAATAATATAATATAAAAATAAAAATAATATAATTTAAAATTTTAATAAAATTTAAAAAAATATTTTATATTTAATGTATTTATACAAATTTAACATGATAATTTTTATTTATATATATATTTAATATAAAATAAATATAACACAAATACTAAAATTATTAAATCTGAATAAATTTATGGGATAATATTAAATCTTTTCAAAAGCCATGATCTCGCAGGTTAATGTCAAAAAAAGAAAGCTTATTCAATTTTGCAATGAGATAAAAATGGCATACAATTACATAACCATATAGCAGTTAAATTTAAACCATATCGGCAATAGTTTTTACCCACTTATATCTAATTCTACCCAGAGCTGGAACTGGAAATTTTGCAACATTGATTCAATCATAGTTGTTGAAATGCACAAATTATTATATGCCATACATAGCTAGAAATTATAGGCTAACATCAGTTGTACATGGAGCGATAAAAATATCAATCAATCATTCAGTTGAGGTTACAAGTAGTTATCTTGCCTCTAAAAGGACCTTTCAATAATTTTTGACTCCCCTGGCTAAGCTAAAGTTTCTACAGTTTTTGTTGCTTTACCAGGGTTTTTTATTTTTTTTTATTTTATCATTAATGCAGTAAAATAGATGAGCATGGCACACTTCGTTGAGACAAGATTTTTCACTTTTCAGCTTTGGTATTTAGGTTTTTATATGGTTCCTATACTCTAATCCATTAACAAAATTTGGCCCTGTCCTGTTGTCCATTGCTTTGTGAGGCCTTGATTTCTCAAGCCACAATTTAGCTAAGCTGTAGTACCAAACCAAAAGAGGAGAAAGGTCTTGCTTTCTAAAAGTGGGATTGTTGAACTTGAAATTTAGTTTATTTAGTTTATGAAATCACTCTTAAAGTGACATTCAATATTTGATATTCGAATCTTAATATTTATAATTTAAAAAAAAAAAGATTGTTCAAGCAGCTGCTATAACAGTCTAATGGACCATTGAATTCAGAAAATCCAAGACTTAAATCTAGCTTTCATTGAAGAGGATAGAGAAAGGGCCAGATACTTACCAACATACCAATCCACAAGCCATGCAAAAACATAATCATTTCCTTCAAAAAATAAGCACTTTTACTGTATATTTCAAGCAATGGTAATGAACAAAGCAAGCCATTGAGCTGGCAACACGTCTGCTGGTGCAAAAAGCCATCTGAATTCTTCTTTATTGTGACATATACTAGTGCAATAGATCGATGCTACATTTCCTTAACAATTTCTTGGTCTATATGAATAGCTACTTTGTTCACATGGCATTGATTAGTACTGTTCTGCTCATCCCAAATGGGGGATGTGAGGAAATGACAGATTTTGGACTCGTGCTAAAATATACTATTCCAATGGAATCAATAACATGCTGCCACTAGAACTCAAACAATAAATACAAAAAAATCAACAACTAAGCAATATGAATTACTATTATGATTATGAAACAAACCAACTTCAGATCCAGGGCCAGTGTGACAATGATGGACCAAATTAGTATGGAAGGAATCTAATTCTAGAACTTCAGTGTAACACATCCAGAGAGCTATAAGAAAAAAATATCATCCTGGAGAAAACCAACGAGACTCCATGTAAACAGTCTACGGCTGCATTTGGAAACGCGGTGGGAAGAGATACGGGCTGCTGTTTTGGCACCGTTTTGCGGTGCCATTTTGGCATTCCTACCATACTTCCAAATGCACCCTGCATATGTAGAAGGACAAACAGATTCAACCTTCTCAGGTTTAATGAAACAGGATATGGGCATGGGAGGAAGCTTCAGGCAAACTAAAAAAAACTCTCTCGAATCAACTTTTTACGGCGAGTGACATCTTCATCTCTCAATTCAGAATCAAATTTAAGTTTTTCATAGATTAAAAATAGTGTCTCAAGAGCAATTGCCTTCTGCAATAGACGCTTAACTAATTCAATTTCGCTCTTATAGCTAAAGAAGTGATGTACTTTAATTATCTTCAAATTATGCAAAAATTCAACTGTTAGTTCTCCTTCTCCATTGTTAAGCTCAACAAACGATTGCTTGAAAGCATAAGCTTGAATATAATCATCAAACGCTTCCGAATACCTAGTTCTAAACTGCAAATCCACACAGAACAATAACATTTATGAGAATTAGTCTTGTAGACAATCAAAATTTTAAAACAGATGTGGAAAACTCACACCTAGTTCAATCTTCTCCAAAGAAGAGCATTGTCCCAAGAAGGCAAGAAGTGCAATCAGATCGGTCTCTTTCACAAATGGACCAAACCAAGAAAATACCTTAAGATTTTGGACATTTGCCCATCCATTGCTGTTCACCTTGAGTTCTCTAGCTACAAACTTTCCATTCCAAAAGGAAACACTAGAGATTTTAATCACACCAATCAAATTCAATAAAAGGAATAATTAATGAGAATACAAAGAAATAAATACCTGAGGAAACCAAGAATTAACACCAAGTTGCTTTACATGGATAAGATTTCCTACCAATGTGCTAATGTGCTCAAATTCTTCTTTATATTGTCTATTTGCCTGTTGAAAAACTCTGGCTTCAACAATGGAAGGCAAAGTACTCAAAGAAATCTGCATTAAATCTCCAAAGAATTGAACTGATGACAAATTTGACACATCAACTTCTAGATTCAAACCAATCCCATCCATCCAACGAAATACAAGGTGTTTAAGCCGCTTGCTTTGACACCAATAAGTCTTAAAATTGATTAGCGTATAGAAACTAGCAATGGTCAAGCTCTCAAGAACAGGATAAATAGACATCAACCTCTTTAGAGTTTCATCTTCTATTGCACAATAAAAAATGCAAAGGGTAGTAAGCCAAGCAAAGGTTACAAAACCTGGTTGATTTGGATTAAAACGAAACCCCCTAAAAAAGGTTGCTCCAATGATCGAACATTGTCATGCAAATGAAACATGCTAGGCATAGCATAACATTCTTCAGGCAATAGTACGAGCAGAATAGCAGCAACTGAGAGAATCTGAACCTGCCTTGAAATGGCAAACTCAATGCAGTCTACAACATCAGGGTCCCAAAAGGGTCCTACACAAAACCCAATGCTGAATTTGTGGGGTTTCTAGGCTTGGTGATGGCTTAAAGTGTTGCCAATGAAATTACATTCAGATTCATCGATCAATTTATAAGGTACTGTAATAGGAATGTCAATGACACGGCTGAATTTCCAGAGGTGGATCCATCTTTTGGACAAAATGTTGGTTTGAATAGGAAGTTCGGTTGGCAAGAAGGAGAGAATGTGATGGAGAATTGCATCTGGTAATGCACTGATCCAATCTTGTTCTTCAGACATGGTGGTGAAGACAAGAAAGAGCTTTGACTTTTTGGAGTTTCCAGATATTACTATTATATGTTATACCTCAATGGAAGTTTCAATCTTGTCATAAATTTCATGGGGTTTTAAAATCACTTAAAAATATTTCTATATTCAATTCGAATGATTTGATTCGGATTCAATTAGATTATTTTATTTTAAAAAAGGTAAAATAATTGCTTTAAAAAGGAAGAATTGTTTTATGACTATTTTGTTCTATTAAAATAATCTAGTAATTTTTTATATTATATTTATTTATTTATAAATCATATATATTTTGATTACAACACATTATCTAGAATCTAGATAACAAATAATTTTGGGTTTGAGTGAAAATAAACTGTTTTCAAGCCTAGCCTAACCTCAATTTTCCAGGCCTGGGGGTGGGCATAAAGTCTGGGGCCTGCCTCAGTATTTCTGGGCTGCCTATTTCTCCAAAAATCCATGAGAAAAGTGGGCCTAAAAGGCCTTCAGTAGGCCTGGCTCTCTCATTTAACTTTTCAGGCCTTGTTTAACTTGCTTTGTGAAGGAATTGTAGGCCAACAGAGGAGTAATCCAAAAACCATTTCAATTTAGAGAAGATGAGGGTAATCCAAAAACCATTGACTTAATTTCTGAAGGAATTGTAGTGCAGATCTACCCTGAAATTGGAAGTGTAATAGAAAATTTTATCATTGGCAAGGTAACAGGGATAGTAAGTTAGTAACAATGTAAAATTCTTTGTTTTGTCTGCAGGATAATATAGCATGAAGGCATGTCTTTTACACTAATTTACCAATTCATTTTGAATGCAATCCCCTTTTACATCAATGATGGAGATGGTTTCAGAAAGAAAAAAAAAAAAAAAACCTTTCAAGCCAACAAAAAATATAACTTCAATCATAAAGGCTCAGAGATCTGTGCGCCAAGTGATCGATTGGCGAATCTTTACCAAAAAATATGATGGAAAGACAGCTCATTTGAATTCACGAGGAAAAGACACTTGTCATTGACCATAATAAGGCGGCTGACCCGGTATTGGTGCACCACCTGGTCTATCATTAACCCCTAGCTGTGGCATTCTCATGGAAGACACACTGGGATGGGAAAAGGGTGATGAACCAGCAGATGTGGCGGCGTTCATATGTAGGGAGTGAGGGTGCTTGATATGCTTGACCAGGAACAGTCCCAGGAACTGATCCATAAGGTGGCATAGCCTGTAAATTTGGGTCCCAAGCTGGAACTTGTCCTGCAGAGGGTTGAGCCTGCATTGCAGCTGAAGCCGCATAGGCAGTCCCAGGGAACAATGGAGCACCCTGAGGATTCTGCCAAACATTTGGAGCGGCGGGCATACCAGGATCTTGTGTTGCAAGCAAACTTAGGTCTGAGATTGTGTAATCTCTACTTTTATCACTGGAAGCCTGCGCCAAAATGTGAACTAATTGAATCACACTGCGTGTCTGTCAAAACAAATAATAGAACTAATTTAGCAGGTAAGGGTAATCAAGTGTCAAGAAGCATACATGCATACATTTTAAGGCCCAAATGTTTTTTTCCATCAAGAACGGATCCCCTATCTTCTAACAACGTCTTTAATTTATTTTTTATATTTTTTTTCTTATTAACTCAAAAGCACATATTTTTACCTTTACATTGAGATCAGTATGATGAGAGTATGATAGATGAAGCTTACAATAGCCAACATCATATATGCACTACGGTTGTGACATGTGAATGTAGCAACTTCTACATCAGTAAAGCCTATCAAAATATCTCTCTAACAAAATAGAACATGCATTGCGAAAAATACAATAATAATTTGCATGCCATAAGATAGATGTCCAACAGTCCCCAAGGAACACTTCATAGACCTTGAGACTTTCATCTTGTGGGTCTCAAGTTCAAATCTTTGGAAAGAACAGGTGAGAAGAAAACAAATATCCCACAATTATCAGAAATAGAACAAATTTCAAATGAAAAAGAAACAAAGCAAAGTAAAAGAAAGGTACCATAATAATAATGACGACACGTTTTTACATGAAAAAAAAAAAGAAAAAGGAAAAAACATTTGCATCAAACTTAAAACTGCAATGTAAATTAGATCTGATTTGCTCTGCTTCTAATCTCAGCTACCAGGCTCTTCACTTAGAGCAGCTTATGTGTGTGGAAAACTTACCACTACAACTAAGAGCAACTCCATCTCCAACAACCGATTTTTATTTTTACAGCAACATATATGGTCATCTTTCTTCAAATTAAAGAACAGCTAAGATTTTTTTTTAATTGCATTGAAACAAAACAAACGAGCAATTCAGTAAGATATGCCTTTTGGATCTCGTGTCTTTCAGAAAAGAGGGCCAAGGTGCCGAAAGTGTGCATCTTAACAAAATCTCTTTACAAATAGGTGGCAAGGCACTTGTAACAATAGGGTATCAGCGGATAAGAAGGCATGCATTACCAAAAACATACATAAAGCAATTAAAAATTCATATGACGAAAGCATACCGGGATATTGAATTAGTGCCTGTGTTCCACCATTCTGCTCAAATATTGCAATCTTTTGGACTGTACCAAAGGCAGAGAATACCTACAAAAAGCAACCAGTAGAATAATATGACAAACTTTTCAAACAATGAACCTGTATTTTCATGTCAATGAAGTGCAACAGAATGACCTACCTTGTGAAGAGCATCAACTGTCACAGCATACTGCATAGTTTCAATTGAAGCAAGTAGGACATTTTTCTGAGTTTCTTGGTTTTTACCATCCGGAACAACTACAGGCTGGAGATTATATTAGTGACACCCAATATTAAAAAAATTGTTCAAATGTTTGTAAATGAACAGCTACCTGCATAAGTCCCTCTATCGCAATTGGATTGACAGGTAGGTATGGATTGGTACAGTCCCGACAGCAATGTGCAAACAAAATCAAATAATAAATATTACACATGAAGTAAAAATGGATAGCCCAATGTCAAATAGAAATTTGCATCTAGTCAGGAGAGAAAACATATAAGAGTAACAAAGTGATGCTATTGCAAATGGATAAACAAGATGACATAAAAGATTATGGGCTCAAATCCAGAAGCATCCTGTTTCACAGCAATAGCAGATCAAGGAAATATGAGCATCCATTTGGTTCGGATTATATAACAAAGAGCAACTCAAAAGCTTTCAAAGGTATGCCAATCGAAGACTAGCTTAATTACAACCAACTCTATGAATGTTAAGGTCTTGAATTTGGTCAATGTTTCAGTGAAACAATTCCATAAATGTTCGAAGAGAAAAAAGGGCAATCACATTTTTACGAAGCATCACTCAAATGATAACAATGAGTATTAAATAGATAAAAATTAAATTTATGTACCCCCCCCCCCCCCCCCCCCAATTAACTAGGTTCTTATGCCAATTTTTCAATATGCTGACACTCATAGTGGAGGCAATTGTTATGATTTGAAAATACTATGAAACAACTGAAATTCTAGAATGAATAATTGTTCAGCTAATAGAACAAACAGTTTGCAAATGTAAAACAGTTGATGGAAGTATTTTCTCCAAATACAAAGTTCCCAAAGACAAACACTAAAAAAGCTTAAAAGCAAACTTAAAATTAGATAATATACCGTACTAGCATGTTACAGGATAAGCTTCAATGTTTCCAGTGAATTACTGAAAAAGGGGAGGCTCCCACTCATGGTACCACCAAAGTGGTAATTCCACAATCAACATATAAACAACTGCAACTATACTGAGATTTGCAAATGCATGGAACTATAGTCAAAAGATTAAGAAAATTACTAAGCGACCATGACAATACATCTGTGTGCTGACTACTAGGCTTCACTAACACCCTAGATGTCAAAAAAGCACACAGATTAATTAGCAACATATCAGATGTCAAAATAAATATTTAGCAGGAATATTACTTAAGATTTCAGGAACGAACATGACCAAACATTGGTGAACTTCGAATAGCAAATAACTTCATATTTGTGGGTCCATGCTTATCTGCTCCGATGAGACTGAAACTTGATATTCGGATCAGTGTGTGCAGCATATGAGATTGGAGGTGACAAGAAGTAACATGATCTGTAAGCAAGTACCTAAATTCAAAATATCATGGTAAAAACATTATAACACAACCACATTGTTATGCAATTCCCAAACTACAAATGTATAATCAATATGAAGAAGAGAATTAAGTGATGCTAGAGAGATGAGAAAAATGACTGTGAAAGTGAATTTATGACTAGAGAAGAGCATGTGTGAAATGAGGCAAAAGAGTAGTATATACCTGGGAATACTTCTCCCATCCAAGGCATTCCTGGCTGAACATGCAGTTTCAGCATCAGTGAATTGGATTAATGCCTACCAACATCTGTCAAAAAAATGAGCATGTTATTGAAAGACACGCAATCTCCAAAGATCCAAAAGCATTTTTGACATCTCACCTGGAATTCAAAAGTGACAATTTTGTGCACAAAACCAAATGCAGAAAATACCTGAAACAAAATTAAATCAGATATGATCAGAAATCACAAACATAAATAAAAAAGAACATTAGAAACCATCATAATGATCGGTATAATGGGACAAATCATTGTTAGCAAATCCAAATGGATGAGAAATAAGTGCAGAATGACAACTGTGCATACATGCCTCAAGATAGACTTTAGAAAGTTGTACGAAGTACATGACAATATTTCCAAACTCTCTCCAACAAAGGAATCTATATAAGAGACATAACCATCTGTGATTCATCTGATTTCAATCAAAATGCTGCTATCTCTATATATGTAAAGAACAAGAAAAAATAACAGTTTAATTCATTTCAGATCTATAAGAAATGGCCCTGTAATCTCTAATTGAAAACCATACTCCTTAAATACGATGGTTTAAGAACATCAAGTATCTCTCATCAGTCATGTAAGAAATAAAACAAGGCTACATAAAAGTGATACTTTCACATATGGTACCTTTAACTTCCGAGATCTAAAC